ACTGTGCCTCCTCAAGCAGATCAAAAGGAGAAGATGGAGTCAAGTGCAGAGCCTACAGGACAAAAGACAAGCAGAAGAAGGGGACAGGAGGTGGAAAAGCCAGGATTTTGTCCAGGCCCCGTGCCCTGTAACAGGGCACAGCAGAAAGCCGAACAGAGAGCATAAATCACCCACCCAGGTAAATTACCTTTCCTTACCCTTGGTGACCAGGGCTAATCAGTTCCTAAGGTACTTCCTCACCTACCATAACACCTGTCTCAAAAACAAAGTCTGAGGTAGGAAAGGTAGATGTGGTTCTCCCTATATTACAGAGTGTAGAACTGAGACACAGCAAGCTTCCTGACTTGTCCCCAAAATACCAACTTATTTTTTGAGATCCCTGCCCTGGGCTCATTCCACTGTATCATGAGACTTCACCATGGGTGAACTTGGCTATCGAGGGGTGTGTTTGCCAGGCACTGGGGAAGTAACAGTGAACAAACCAGTCCCTATCCTCTGAACGTTGTTTATATGAGGGCTTAATCTTAAACGCCACCTGTGCCTGGCTGATCTTAACTGCCTGGGATCAATTCGCAATGTCTGCTGTGGGTAGAAGGGATGGCAGCCATGAATGTATTTATATTTCCAATTTGGCAATGACCGAAAAATGCTCTTCATTTCAACAGCTATATAGCCCATATTGTGTACTATGGATACAGAAAAGTGGGTAAGATCGCCAAGGGTCCAGCCCTGAAAGTAGTAGCTGATGTGAGAACTGACAAGGGTGGTGGTAGGTTCAACGCTCTTTCCATCCAGGGGCTGCTATGTCCTCACCTCAGGCAAGGCCTGCAACGCTGAGGCCCAGGCTCTACTAGAGGGATTAAGGCAAGGCCCAAGAAGAGCAAAATGCAGAAACTCAAGTGACAATTATGGAATGGGTGCCTCTGTGGAAAGTGCACTGGGTTAGGAGTCTGGAAAACTGCCTACTTCACCAAGGTCAGCCTGAATCACCCAAATGCACGGCCAGCAACTGGGTGGTATAATGGTTAAAAGCCTGTGCACCAATAGCCAGGGCTTGGGGTCCAGGCTCTGCTACTTTTACCCTGGTGACTCTGGGTTTCTGTTAATAGGAATAGTTTCCAACCTAATGAGATTGTGAGGATTAAATCAATGAATATTTGTAAAGTGCTTGGAAAAGCGCCTAGCACATAGTAAGCACTCAGTACTTGTTAGCTGTTATTTTGGAAATTTATTGATGACTGAGTATCTGATTAAGGCCACTGACAAATTTTTCCACCCTACCCCAAACTCAGTGGTGAACCTCCCGTTAGGTACCTGGATGTCTGCTTAGTGGCCCCCGCCCTTCCCAGAACCAGCCTGAAGAGCTCGTCAGTAAGGCAGAGTAGACAGGTGTGCCTGTTTTCAAGAAACTTCGAGCATTTCTGGGCAACATCTCCTCCATTTGGACAGGTCATCCCTGGCCTTCTGAGGGCCTGTCAAAGGCTGGCTCAATGTGGGGGCGGGACGAGAGCTGAAGGCTTGTGTCTTGTAGGACCAGGAGCGACAGCATTCACACTGGATCTGCCTTGGTGCTTGTGCTGCCAGGCCTAGTCTTCATCTAATATGCACTCTTGCAGCACTAAACATTCAAAGGGGCTCCTGTTTCTCTCTCCCTGAAGGGCCATGGCAGAATGAAGCAAGACCTAACATGGACATTGCGATCCATCCCCATGGTGCCACTGGGGACACTTTGGCCAAGAGAACCTCAGTTTTCTATAAAATGAGAAGGAACCAGATGGTTTCCAAAGCCCCTTCGGACTTTGACCTTCAAGTCTAGGGTCTCCAAAGAGCTGTCACCACAGAGGGGCATTGGCAGTGATGATACAAGTCAGGAAGAGAGTAAGGGGAGCCTGGAATGGCAGAGAATATCCTAGAGCAGGGGTCAGCAAACTTTTGAGACAGAAGAGCTGCCAAAATGCGACTTGCGAGCCCCATGAGGCTCTTTGGGTACATACATGTGGCTCTGAAGTAAAACTAAAAATGAAAATAAAACTATCATAGTTTCATTTATAATATTACTTTAAATTTTCCTTATTTGTAAAAATATATTTATGGCTCTCGAATAATTTTTAAATTGCTGAGGGACAGGACTGGCTCTTCCAGGCAGGGGTCGGCAAACTTTTGAGACGGAACATACCCAAAGAGCCGCAGGTGGCTCACAAGCCACAGTTTGCCAACCCCTGTCCTAGAGCATCTACAAGCCCAGCTGCAGCCAGTGGGGAACTTCAGCAGCCTTTCTACTCCCAGCCAGCAGTCTGGCATTCTCAGGCTGCCAATGTCCTCACACCCCTTTTTCCCCATGCTTGGCAAGAGGGCCTCCCACTCAATGGATAAACTGCTGTGCCCACAGGTCCTGGAAAGAAAGGCCAACAGAATCAAATTAACTTTTTAAAAAATGTTTATGGAGCTACTATTGAGCCCTTAGTATGATTTGTCACTGGGCTAAGTGCCTCCCTTGCAATCTTACCTAATAGGAAGACTGATGCTTCTTTTTACTCTTCTGATTTTTCCCCCTTATTAGTTGTGCTTTAAGGGGGGGGGAGGGGGAGAGAGAAGGAAATAAACTGGCTCTGCCAGTTTTTAATTCTGACCCTGGGCAGGTCCCTTAATCTCTGTAGGTCTATGGAGAAGGAATTTCTCCATTAAAGGGAGACAACTACTACCCACTTGAAGGGAACTAGTGAGATATGATTAAAGAAGTGTTTTGTAAATGCTTTTCAAGTCCTGAGGGCTATCCCAAAGGCAGTACCAACTCTTTCAACCCAAGGGCTTAATGAGTAAGACTAGACCCCAGGAGAAATCAAAGGATGGTGGCTTAGAATGCTCAACTCTGGCAGGTGCCATCTTGGACAGTGTCCCACCTCAGGGCAATAGAGCTCCTGGAGGAGCAAAAACCAAGTCACCATCTGGTTCCCTGGAGCAGCCCCCTCCCAGCCTGTGGAGACTGTTCTGCTGAGCGCTACAGTGCCTGGGAGGAAGACCACTTCCCTGGATCCACCCAGTCTTCAAATCCCCAATCATCAATAACCTGGTCCTCTTTATCTAAAGGCTAATTCAAGGTCTGCTGCTCGTCCCCAGCCCTCATATGAAGGGTCAGCAGCAACCTAGTGATGCATACACCTAGAAAGCAACTACATTTTACAGGCTAAAAAACGAAGGCACAGGTTTGGGTGTGGGGGAAAAGAAAAAAATGAAACAAGATTCTTACAAATCTCAGAACTACTAAGTAAGGAATGAGGTTCTTGCCACAAAAGCGGCCTGGTGTGAAGCACACGTGTCCCTGCACGAGGAGGGCAGGGTTGTTTGACAAACTAATCAATTACTTGGAGATTTCTAAGTCCTGACCTCACCCAGGCCAGCCCATGTCCCTTCCGGCACCCACTCTGACCCAGCTGGTTTTTCCCCCACTGCTGGCCATCCTCCACCAGGGATGTGTGGTGGACTTAGGGGCGCCCTGGGGCAAGCCCACGTGGAGGACTTTGCCCACCCCCACTGGTTTCCTCTTTGTACCTTGGCTAGTTTCAAACTCAAGAGTAAGTTTTTGGAAGGCAGCTGAGTGTGATGCAGTGAGCACTGAACGGGCATCAGAGTGCTGTGTTTTCAACACTGCATCCCTGTACAGCAACCTCGGTCAGTCGCTTTTTCTGCGGGCCTGCGACCCTCAGCAAAGTGGTGTGTGTGGGCACGGGCACCCCATACATGTGAATTCTGGACTGGGCTTGGTGGTCTCAGATCAACTCCAGGGGCTGCAGGGGCAGTGAAGGAGCAGGGGCCTCTCACAGGAGCAGAGCTGGGGTGCGTGTGGCTGCACTCGCAGTGTAGCAACTCTGCCAGCTCCGTAACCTTCTTGGGAAAATGCTACCTTCCTCACCAAGGCTGCTTTGAGGGTTATAAGATGTGTGCCCTTGAAAGCCTATGTTTCTAAGTGGGGGAAAAAATACAGCTCACAAAATATGATCCCATTTTTAAAAGGTGTGTGTGTGTGTGTGTGTGTGTGTGTACCAGGGATGCCAAAAAATATATATACACATTTTAAGACATGTTATCTATGTAGTACTTAGTTCTTCACCGTAATCAGAAGTGTTTGAATGCTGATGGTAACCACTTTGAGCACCTCTGGTAATTGCAGAAGTCAAATGTGACTTGTATTCATCTTTTGTTATCGGTATATATTGAGTATTACAATTTTAATAGTTTTCCTTTCTTAAAATGTGTATATATTTTTTTGGCACCCTCTGTGTGCGCGCACACAGGAGCATGCGCACACACACACAGTCTATAAATGTGCTAACGCAATAGTCACTAGCCACATACGGATACTGAGCACTTGGAATGTGCCTAGTCCAAATTGAGACGTGCTTTTAAGTGTAAAAGACACACTAGATTTTGAAGACTTATTACAAAGAAATAAAGTATTTCACTAATAATTTTTATATTGATTATATGTTGAAACAATATCTTGGGTTATATTATGTAAATTGATTTCACCTGTCTCTGCTTTCTATAATATCTTTACTAGAAGATCTAAAATTATATATGTGGCTTGCATTGTGTTTCTATTAGGCAGCACTGGTCTAAAGGAAGGGGTTGCTTTATAGTATTTATGGCGGTTGGTGGGACAGATTATTAAGGGATTTGTTTTCTCTTTGCTAAAACATATTTGGACATTTTTCTACAATGAATTACACATGTTGTTTGATACGTTGAAAAGATTTCCCCTTCAAAGGAAGTTAAGAGGCCCAACACATAATAGTGTTTCCCATCCCCCTTTGGTAACCCAAGCTACCCCACCTCCCCATCCCCCAGTGGCCGGGAGGCCATGCCTGGGAAACCACAAGGTCAGCACGGCTCTTTCCAGCAGGCTGCACGTGACCTGACAGAGCTGAAGAGGAACATCTCGGGGGGAAGAGGGCCAGGGCTCTCCAGCAGGATCAACGTTCCAGGGCCTGGCTCATACTCACTCAGGGTGGCCAGAGGGGTAGAGCTGGGACCTCCAGGCTGGGCCACCAGGGTCCCGTAGAGATTCCTGCTGTCTAAAGGTTTGTGTGGGTCCTCTCCCAGAAAGTTTTCCGGTGGGGTATATATGCTTCTGTGGTCTGGGAGAATGCAAAGCCAGATGATAAGTAAGGGAGGAACTCAAGTCAATAAGCCATCTACTGGAACACCCCAGCTACTTCCTAGCTACTGCACAGCCCTGAGCAAATTATTGAGCCTCTTTGAATTCCTGTTTTCCCCTCCCTAAACTGAGGATCCTAACTGTAGCTAGATCCCATACAGGTGCTGTGAACTAAGATCATGAGCAAGATGCATGTGGTGGCTCAGAAGTTTGAAAATCACACGAGAAGTGCAGGGTCTGGTGCAGTGTGGACCGGCTCCCCTGGGCATCTGTCCTTACCAGGCAAGCTTCCCATGAGGCAGATTCTAGGACACCTGGCTAAGCCAGGGACACAATAATGGCATATTAGTGATGGATGAGCAACTGCATGCATAAGCATGGGATCCAATCCCTTCATAGGAGTTGTGAAAAATGAAGGTCCAGCCAGGAGAAATGAAAGAACAGGACTGAAATCAGAACCTGGATCCACAGACTTTCATCTAAGGCAGCTTGCTCTGAGCCCACCTTGAAGATCTTACCCGAAATAAAAAAGCCACCGCAGTTTCTAATAAGAAGTCAGGAACAGAAAACCATGACATAGAAAAGGCAGGTCAGGCTAATCCCGCCCCCACCCCACCGCCGCGCCCCACCCCCCATGCCCGAGCTACTGCTGATGTCCCTAAGACATTCGCCCACCTCCATGCTCGGGCACGAAGCATGGCATAGAACAGGGGTCGGCAAACTGCGGCTCGTGAGCCACATGCGCCTCCTTTGGGTACGTTCCATCTCAAAAGTCTGCCAACCCCTGCAAGAGCCAATCCTGTCCCTCACAACAATTTAAAAATTATTCAAGAGCCATAAATATATTTTTACAGATAAGGAAAATTTAAAGTAATATTATAAATGAAACTATGATAGTTTTATTTTCATTTTCAATTTTACTTCAGAGTCACATGTACATACCCAAAGAGCCACATGTGGCTCGAGAGCCATAGTTTGCCAACCCCTGGCAGCTCTTCCATCCCAAAAGTTTGCTAACTCCTGGCATAGACCAGCGGAAGCTGGTCTAAACAAGGAAGAACCAACACTTCTGGCTCTGGGGCCAAGAAACCCAGAACCCAGGGAAAAACATCTGCTTGCCTCAGGCCAGCCTTCTGATTAATGGGCACAGTGCAACTACTGAATAACTCGGCTTCTGGACAGTTTGAGAAAAGAGGATGAAGTAAGAAATGGCAATCAGAAAACTTCCTCTTCAAGTGGCTTAGTCTTGGGGAAAAGAGCATTAAAAAAAAAATAAAAAAATCAGACCCAATCCACTGTGCCATCATCCATTCCTTTCTATCTTCTCCCTGGACTACTACAGAAATCTCCAGATGGTGCCACTTCTTTCACTGTTTTCAAACTTTCTCAGCTGGCCTTCCAAGGCCTCTTGCTTCTCTGATTTTTTGAGCCCCTCGCCTCTCACTCACACAAACCTCTGTTTCTTCGAGAACACTAAACTCATTATCACCTAGTGCTTGATGTACCTCCAAGCTAGAATGCCCATCACCAGGCTCCTTATCAATCTCAGCTTGGCTCACCCTTAGAGGCAATTCCCTGACACCGTGACTGAAGCTGCCCCCAGCCACACACCCCCCAACACTACTCTATTACATTGCCTTGTTTCCTTCACCACACTTGTCACTATCAGAAACTGGTGCTGTTTTAAAGATGATTGCAAATTGATACTTCTCATTGAAAGGGGCCTGAGTGTCCCCTTACCTTCATTCTCTACAGGATCTGTGACCTCTATCAATACAATATACTATCTGATGCCGTGCTAGTGCTCAGTCCCAGGACCTTAAAACACTGACAGCATCTACTCCCTGTTTCTTGGAAGACTCTCTGGAATCCCGAAGCCACTATACAGCAAGTCCTACTCCTCTGAAACCACCATGCTGGAGAGGGCATCTGAAGACACTCACTCCAGTTTCAGCTGAACTTAGTCTTCCAGCCTTCACTAACAAACACGTGACTGAAACTGTGGAGGGCTCTCCAAACCAGGACACACGCCACCTCTATCACTGCCATGCAGAAAAAAATTGCTTGGCTGAGCCCTGTCCAAATACTGACCCACAAATCAGTGACTAAAATGGCTGTGCTAAGTTTTGGGGAGATTTGTTTGCCAGTGATAACCCGGACTACCTTGTTGGTTTACTGTGTCTTCCCATTAGAATGTAAATTATGAGGGCAGGTCCCTTCAGTCTTGTTTCCACCAGTGCTCCATGGTCTAACATTTAGTAGGTTGCTCAAATAAACATGTGAAATGAATGGTTTTCAGTTTGGTGACAGTCAATTTAGTTCCTTTCACACAAAGTTTAGGCTCCAGCTCTGTGCTTCTCTAGATAGGCCCGAGGACTCTGAATACTCAGTCTCTCGAGAAGGGCCAGCGTCCCTTCTCCTCAGCCAGCTGGTTGATACTTTGACCCTGGCCTCCCCCAGACCTGGGTTCCAAATCTCAGGGCCAGGAGGAGGTTTCTCAGCAGCCACTTCATCAAACCAGGTACAGGATGTCAGAATCATCTCAGTAACACTCCTGCCAAGAGATGGGCCACCACTGTTTCCACACTGCTCCTCAACACTCAACACCATATGGGGCAGCCCATCTTAGCTCAGCATTTCCCTAGAGCAGAATGCGCATCCCTAGTTAGAAGTATCCTGCAGCGTTGGCCAAGCTCTTGGGGATGACTCACTTGAAAGCTGGTCCAATCAGGTGGGGATAAACCATCACAGTTAGATAAAATCTTTCTTGCAAACTGCAGTCTTGAGCTCCAGTTTGATATGTAGAACTTAATCTTAGTGGGAAAGGATCTTGAAAGGCCTTCAAACTCAATCACCTTTATTTTCAGAAGAGGGAGGGAAAGGAAGTCCAAAAAGGTTCAGTAAGTTGCCCAAGGTGTCTTAGTGAGCCAAAGAGCTGCGACTAGAAGGGTGGTCGGTCTCCAGTTTTCCTGCCCAGGCTCTCTACTCTACCCCTACACAGGGCTCCCACCAGCCACTGTGTAAGGAGCAGGCCTGCCTTGGAGGAGCCGCTCTCCACTGTCTGGGGCCCCCAGGGAGAATTTAATGTTCCAATGAGCGCCAATGCCCAAATAGCAGGGCCATACCAAGGCCTCTAGCCAGGACCTTTCCCCTTTCCACTCCAAGACACAGTAACATCTGCCTTAGCCAGTCTTATGCCTAACATGGTACTGGAGCTGGAGGGGGCCTTAGAGACAGAGCTCAAAGATGCTATACCCATTTTACAGATGGAGGAAGTGGGGCAAAGGCTCGCTGGGGCCGAACATAACCTAGTTTCCCAGCAGCCCCCTAGCTCTCAGCTTTTTCCTGCTGCTCTGGGGCCTTAGGCTACAATGCCCAGAAGTGTCCTATCTCCCCATCATGCTCATTCTCCCTCAAAGGGGTGGGTAAGGAATCCCCTCTAGGAACTGCAATTCCTGCCCCAGGCCTTAAAGTCGTTCCCACCATGTCCTCTCAAACTTGCCTCCCATAGGATGCTCCTTAGCTTGTAGGCTGGTCAGATGCTGTCCTCTCTCCTTTGTATGATAAAACATACAAAGTTTGAGCCTATAGGCCTTGTGCTGGTGTCCTTGTCTAAAGGGGGACTAGGTTTCGCTATTGGATAGCAGTCGTAAAGGAATAGAGGCTCAGTGTGGCCAGATTGGCTCATTTTTTCCCTCATAATAGCTTTATTATTTCACATGCTGTCCTACTCACCCATTTAAAGCATACAATTCAATGGCTTTTTTTTTTTTTTTTGCACATCCAGAGTCTTGCCTTTTAAACAGAAGCTGCAGGGGGCGGCCGGTTAGCTCAGTTGGTTAGAGCGCAGTGCTCACAACACCAAGGTTGCTGGTTCGATCCCCACATGGGCCACTGAGCTGCGCTCTCCACAACTAGATTGAAACAAATACTTGACTTGGAGCTGATGGGTCCTGGAAAAACACACTGTTCCCCAATAAAAAAATAAATTAAAGAAAATAAAGAGAAGCTACAATCTCTAGGTCTCCAGATAAATTTTCTTGATTTTAAAATATAGGTGACTAAGTTGTTTTTAATGCAAGGCCAATCAAAACCTGTCAGTAGACTGGACTGGGCCTGAGGAGGTAAGGTGGAGAATGCCCATTTGTGACCGGTCTTTTAGCATCTAAGCCCCACCATGGCGGCAATGTGTCTTGTTTACCCCTGAATTACGAAGCTTGACAGACACCTAACAAGTAATCAAAATTTTCTGAATGAACAAATCTAGCAAAGTACTCTGCAAATTTGTAGCTGCAGAGCCTTAAAGCTAGCTAATTGCTACCCAAACTGTTTAAATATCACAAGAATTCAGTACCTCCTGTGGCAGCTGAATCCATTTGGCGGCACTACTGAAAGTTACTACATGACCAGAGCCAAAACCTAGTGACCCTCCACCTCTCATCTCCCACCTGCCATCAGTTTTACCCAAAGGGCCACAAGAAGGGCCATATTCAAACGCTTTATTTCAGAACAACCAGTATTTCCACCCACCCCCACCTTTGATTCTCTGGCAAAATAATCCTAGTTCCTTCAGTCATTCCCTCCTCGTAGAAAAGTGCATGAGTCCTAGTGAGCCACCTCCTCTGCGTGTTCCTGATTTCCTGTTTCCCTCCCACATTCCCTAGAAGCAGCACCCAGCCTCCCACACCCAACCTTGCTGTCACCATGTCCAAACTCCACCCCCTATACTCAGCTCCACTTCAGGCAAAACCCAAACCAGGAAGGCTACTATTCCATCCACATAATTGGTTTCTCTTCCTCATATCGCTGTTTATGTACAGAACAGGAAAAGCAAAGAGATCTCCGCACCCCAAAGAAGCCCAAAGCTGCAGAAAGCACCAAGATGGAGTGGGAGGGTCTCCATGCGGAGCAATGAGCCAGCTCTCACTGACATTCTATCACCAGGACATTCCCAAACACCACATGTGGGATTCTCACTGC